GAACCAGTTCAAAAGTTTACATATGCTTGATTCTTAATACTGTTTTTATGTTTTGTGATAGTTGTTCATGAGTCCCTTGTTTGTCGTGAGCAGTTAAATTGCCCACTGTTCTTCAGAAAAATCCTCCAGATACTGCACATTCTTTGCTTTTCCAGCATCTTCTGCATATTTGACCCCTTTCCAACAGTGGCTATATGATGTTGAGATCCATCTTTTCACACTTAGGACAACTGTGGGACTCATACACAACTATTACAAAAGGTGCAAACATTCAATGATTCTCAAGAAGGTAACACGATACATTAAGAGCCAGGGGGGTGTAAACTTTTGAACAGGATGATCAGTGTAAATTGTTACTATTTTGTCTTCTGGGAAACATGTAAATATCTTATGTTGCTGCTGAAGGGCAGTACTAAATGAAAAAAAGAAGACCTTTAAACAAAATAATAAGAATTTACACCAATCAACCTGTTCAAAAGTTTACACCCCTCTGGCTCTTAATGTAGTGTGATGCCTTCTTGAGCATCAGTGGTTAACATTGGCAAATTGTTGTGGTATAAGAGGAGTAAAACACTTCAAGCACACTGTTACAGGAAAATAATAAACTTCAGGGTGGTATCAGTAACTCTGCTTCATATCACACGACACCTCTGATGATTATTTTTCTATAACGGCATGCCCACGCATGTCTTGTTTTAATCTTTACTTATTTTATGGTTTTGGTTAAAATAGTCGCCCAATAAAATAGGTATATATAATTAACATATATTAAAGAAGATATTATAAATAACATAATACAATACAATATCATAATATGCCAAATTGATGTGTTAATATTGACACACGGCTGAACATACCAACACATACACCTACAAATAGACAATATGACAATATAACATTGTTATTGTGATAAATTAAGTCACAATTCTGAAAATAATACTGGTATTTTTAGTTTTTTATAGCATTACTCATTACAGAAAAAAGTAGCTGACTGGTTGTTTAAAAATGTTTATTTTTTGTGGCAAATGTTTAAATTTTAATTCTTCCATGTTAAACAACGTATTTTTGTAGACATTTAATAAAAGATCTTACTAAAACCAAGCATTCTACTGATCTTTAAAACATGCAATCTATTGTCGTAGATTGTCCAAACCAGGCGTATAGTGTTGTGCAAAAAAATATTTTGTGATATTTTTGCCACACCACCCACCCGTACCTTCAACACACTTCATCATAATGAGCTACACCCACAGCTAGTGATGATGATTATTGTAGAACTGTAAAACTCTAAACACCCACAAAGTGGAAACAGAGGCTGAGTGATGAGGACAGCCAAAAAGACAACCCACAGCATGCTACTAATATCTCCTGCCTTGCTCAGCAAACTGTGTATAAATCGTCTAGTCAGATTGTGGTCTGCTCACCGTAAAGCGCACAATGGCCCAAGTGAACCACCAGCTGCCACGACTACATGACTGATGTGCGTGTTACCAAAATGTTGGGTCATACTGTTCGTCTCTGTATGTGGATACTAATCAGACATATTTAGTGCCCTCCTCTTCTCGCTCTGCATTGTTCCAGTTGTTGACTTTGAGCAAAAGCCAGTATCTGATCATTACGCTGCTGTAAATGTGGTCTAACTAGGACAAAGTGCTGGCAGTAGCAAGCCTTTGGAAAATCCTGTACTCCTTTACAAACTTGAAGTAGGAGGGAAAAAAGTAAAGCAAATGAGAAAACATGTACTTTTCCAAACTAGGAAGAAGTGAAGAACTAGTTTCTGTGAGGTAATGACTCTAGAGTTAAGGACATAATTTCCTCTTTCCATTTGTTTTTTCACTCCTGAACTCCAGTTTTGTCCTACTGAACTTAATTTCTTCCACTTTACATTGAAGTTGTCATGTGACATAGGAGACCACCGTGACACTTGCATCACAGTGAGATGGACTTCATATTTATAAAGGGGAGACTGGAAGATACTTGGCAGCCTCGTGACGTTCAAAGGATTTTTTTTTTTATACTGCAGACACTAAGCAATTACACACAGATGGATGAAGGGAGCAGGCCTTTTTTCTGTGTGTTTCACTTCAGAACATCTTAATTCTTTCATGCTGAATCAGGGCTGTTCCTACATGGTTTGGAAAAAACTGCCATTCCAAAAGAAAAGGAAATAATTATATGATTAAATCACTGCACAAAAATCTACAGATGCTTTTGCACTGAGATACTGCCTCATGGCCAGAATGCATGAAATACAACTATGAAGTTACATATTTTTTTACATATTTATGAACCAGCAACAGAACTTTCGGAATACATTGTAATGATCAGCTATACGCAATCCCGGCTTCATTATTAGCCCATAGTAGATCACCTTATACCACAAAATAGTAGTAGGTGTTAATTTTCTAACTAATTTTCTATGCCATTAGCCCTGACAATAGTTCCGGCTGCATGGCAAATCAGGTTTTTTTTGTTTTGTTTTTAAAAAGTTATATAATTTTTATAATAACAACATAAACAGAGACTTGTAGGTATGTGTCAGGTCAATCCCTGCACCCACAGAGAACTCAGTTTCCCAGGACACACCTCGGCCTACCTTCAAGGCCGACGAAGACTACACATCCCAACACGCAAGGACTTTGGCACGTTCACACTCACCTGACTTCTAATCACATACACCTGTACACAGTCACTACTCACAGTATTTAAGGACTTCAGTCTCACTCTCTCACTGCGAAGTATCACTCAGTGTGCTCCTACCTGACTTTACCAAGCCATTTATTGTATGTCGCTGTTCTGATTTTTGATCCTGTTATTGTTCACGTTTCTGTCCTTTGGTTTTGCCCCGATTTTACTGTTTGCACATCGCCTGATCCATTGCCTGGTTATTGACTTTGATTCTGCCTCTCGATTTGGATTTGTTTACCTGTGAACTGTTTAATAACCTCTCCTTGCAATTGCATCCGCTTACCTGCTGTGACAGTATGATGGCTGCTCCACATAAACTGTATAAAAATTGTTGATATGGTAACGTTTTCTGAGAGGAGATCTTTATTTAGCATTTATGGAAGGAGTCTCCAGTGTCCATTTATAGCTCCTTTATAAGACAAGTTCAGACTTTCCACAACATTAACATAACTATAAATAGATAAAAAAATAAAATAAACTATTAACATCTTTACATGCTTCTACTGGGTAATAATGTACTTTGGGGTGGTAGCAGTAACACTGCTTCGCATCGGGCCGCATCACACCACCACATCATTGATTATTTTGCTATTACACTGATTATTTTTGACCCATCATTTAGTCCTTACTTAATAGATCAGCACTATAGGCTGTATTTTCAGTTTCATTTTAAGTAAGATAAAGGATTATGCAAATTAAACAGTTAAAGCTAAGCGCTATGACACTGATAATCACAGATAAAGTATACATCGTAGGCTTCATTAGCTAACTGACTCCATTGTTCTGGTAGATATTAAATTCTATTCTTTCATCCATTTTATTCATATTACCTCCTTTTCATGGGTTCTTTCCTTGTTATAACTGTTTTTAAACATTGCTGCTGTTTTTTGGCACTTAGTTGCCTGCAGGTACACATTAAAAAAGGATAAAGCACTACAGCGTAACCCCTTACAATCACAGCTTTTTATTCAGGTATTAGTCTTAAAGCATACCATTCAGTAACTACAGGGAAAATAATAGAAATAATAGAAAAAGGGAGTAATTACAAGAATGAGGAATGTACATCTGGACCCGTCGACAGCTCTTTGGAGTTTAAAGGCTTAACTTAGGTATTTTAAAGACACTCCTTGAACCATAAGGGCCTCTTGTAACAGTTACAGGTTTTACACTGTTGCTGCCACGTAGGCCCCCTATAGGTCAGCATGCTGACTGAAAGTTAGTGACCCAAGACCTACTGCAGCCTGGCTGGATGGCCATATGACTGTCTTCAGAGAGAGACTGGTTACACAATGCTGCTTTTGGCTTCAGTGACGCCTATGCGTGGGTGAAACTACAGCCGGTGTGAAGTCACTGGTTAGGAGAAAGACTGTCGATTCGTCCTAATTTCATTTTAAACAGAAGTCAGAAAGTGCTAACATTTAAACTTGGATTCAGAGTAGCACATTTGAACACCGGGTGAAAACTAGCCCGCAGGAGGTGTTTAGATTATTATCCATGTTCTAGTAGCACAACACCCACAACTGTTATGGCTGTTCACAGGTTGTTACCTTGTCCTCAGACATAACACAACCTCTATCATGGTTCAGAGACAAACTGGTATGTTTTAAACAGGAGTGGCTGTTTTGTTGGGCAAAATATTGTTAAAACAATGATGTATTTATACTTTGTTTTTAATCCGAAGGCCTTCACTTGCAATTAATGCAAATTCTTAAAGGGAAAGCAGTAGAAACCAGTATGCCAAACTGCTGAAGGATGTAGAATATGCAGGCAAACAATTATATAACGTTTTCTAACTAATTTATTCAGATTTTAGCCTGCCCATTGTTTCTTTGGTCCTTGTGCAGTCAGATATCAACAGGAAAAAGACTGCATGTGGGACTGACTATCTTGTACATGCACCTTATCACATGTGACTAGGACATTTTTCAGACAAGCAGCTTAAATCAAACATTTTTGTTCATAACTGATTTGAACAAGAAAGATCACCTGCATAAGACTTTTTGGATCAGATTCGAGCCATATTTGTGCCTGGTCTCAAATAAGATTAAGAGCAGATTTCTAGATATGAGATTTGGTCTGATTGATCAAATTAAATTTCATTTGGAGAAAGGCGTCAAGCTGTATGTTTCATCATGCATACACAACTACGAAGGTCAGAAAATGTTGTTGTTGTTCTTCCTTTGCTTTCGGCAGATCATTGGTCCGCATATTTGATTTGGAATAGTTATTACGCCAGATGCCCTTCCCGATGCAACCCTCCCCAATTTTATCCGGGCTTGGGACTGGTACTGGGAGTGCACTGTTGTGTGCAGTTCCCTGGCCGAGAATCGAACCCGGGCTGCGGCAGTAAGAGTGCCGAGGCCTAACCACTAGTCCTTCAGGGACCCACGAAGGTCAGAAAATACCTTACATAAATATAGGAATAATAGTTAAAGAAACCTGAAGGACAATTCGCTGTCTCACTGTATTGATGAATGTAAACACGAGAGCTGCACTATTTCAGAAAGGGAATATGGAAATATTACAATATTATACATGCATTTATGGGTTTTATGGGTTTGTCCCATTTGGATGGCCATGACTGACCCTACACTTGTATGCATCCACCTAGTAAATGAACCTCAAAGCTGACCAGAGGGAACTAGAAATGGGAAAAAAGATCAATTCGTCAATTTACCGCGATTCTCTCTTGAACAATTCTGCAACAATGCAGAAAATGTTATAATCAGACTTATGTAGGCTTATGCATGAATGTTTTATAACTGAAAAATGACCACAATACCAAATATCGCTGATGGACAATAAACACTATATGCAGAGACTGTCAAATTTCTGTAAAATTGCATTCGAACTTTAATTACTTTGAACTGCATTTAAATATTAATGAGGGCTGTAGACTGAAAAACCTGCATAAAAGTGATTAATAAAACTGAATATTGTGATAACTACGTAAAATACAAGAGGAATCCACTTCGAAGGAATGAGCTGAACAAACATTTGTTGCATATGTATGAGGACCAGCAGCTCAGTGTAGGAGTGTAAACTCTGACTTCCATTATACTGCGGTCTTCCCATGGTGTGCTTCAGACCTACCAGCTGAAGGTTTTATTATGACAGATGTGTGGGGTTGGGGGTGCTGAGAACTGAGAATTGTGGGACAGAAAGAAAGAAGGAAAAAAGAAGGAGAAGCAGTGAGGGAGAGAGGATAAAGAAAAAGTCAGGGTTTTACATAGATGAACATTTCGTTCTGTAAACACTGAAAGTAACACACAGGAAATTCCGGCTGCTGTTTGTTTCTCCAGTGAACAAACGCTGATCAAGGATCAGTTCTGACTGTATTGCATGTGTGAGTGAATAGGGCTAATGTGAGCACTGATGCGGGCAGCTTCTGGATGAGAACATGGCCTCAGGTCACCGTTTCCACCGACCAAGAGTGCACAACATGCAACTACAACAACAGCTCTTGCTGTCCTCAGATTCCACTTGCTCATGAGGCTTGTAACCTAATCCAGACGCATGAGCCAAATTCTGATATTACACTGACATCATTTGTAAGTTAGTTTTTGGTAGGAAACAGTGTGTCAAACCAATGATGTCATCCTATTCCTCATAAAGTTTACCATGTTATCCTGCATTATGAAAATTCCTATTAATATTAGTCCAAGATAAAGCTAGAATTAACTATTTCTCTTTAAAACAGAGGTCTATAAATACACCTAAGAATTACTATTGACTGTATTTGTTCATCTAAAGTAACATCTGGCCATAATATTAAACAAGAGATATGGCGCAGAAAGATGTGGGGCAAAGTATCACACACACTTAAGTGCAGCTGCATTCATGAGTTCAATTTTTTTTGTGTGTTTCATGCTGTGTTTTCTCTTAATACCAAACACACTGTACAGAAAAGCTGTAACTTTCAGTCAAACAACAACAACAACAACAACAACAAAAATTAACTTATAGTTCTGTCATCTGTGGTTTTGTGTATTTTGTACTATAACTGGACAATCTGTGAAAACTCAGTCCCAAAGCACACGAAATCTACACATTTCAATCTGTGTAATCACCTGACAGGACTGTCATCTGCATAGTGCTTCCATCTACAGTCTAGGCTAGAAAGAATCAGCCCAAGCCTAGCTTCTTCATAGCATCCTGCATATTTTTCTTCTGACTACTGGTGGTGCTGTGTGTGTGGTTCCACAAAAGTTCAGTTTTAAGAAATTTGTTAACAGCAAACAAGCTGATGTGCATGCCAAAAAATGAATCATTATTCTAATGTCTTTTTATATTTGAAAGGCCGGAGGGCTTAACCCTGCTAATCCATTTATACCTACCATTCATGCTTATCTATTATGTGTAAAACAAACTGCTTGTTCTTGGAGTTTAAAGTAAGTGACTATTTAAACTTACTTGCATCCGCCAACATGCACAAAATTCTAATTTCAGTATCGCTGCTGATCGAAAAAAAAAATACATATTCCACATTCTGTATCAATTTTTGAAGGTCAGATTTTGGTTTACAAGGCAAATTGTTTCATGTTTTTGTATGGCTCCATGTAGAAGACAGATTATTCCATGTTTGTGAAAGGCATCAGCTGTTCATGCAAACATCTGAAAAACACCCAAAGCCCAAAAGACTATATCATATGGCATATAATAGCTTATACTCTTATACTCAAACAGGTTCCCCAATGGTTCTTTGGTTGGTTAAGAGTTATTGGCTTCCTAAAGTGGTTCTGTTTGGAACTTTCTCTCATTGGGAATCAAGTCTATTGTATAGTTCTACATTTAAGGTTTCCCAGAGAGGTATGAACCAGAGAGCATGTTGGATTTCGAGATTTAGATTTTTTTCTGAGCATGCAATATATGTCTAACATATAGCTACCAAGTGAGCTCTGACTGACCAGAGATGTCCATGCAAGTCCATTATGACCTGACATAAACTGGACAGTCATTATTGATTAATTCTAAGGCCTGGTGATCATTGAACTGGTTGTTAAAGCTATGTCCTGATTTGGTATATTTAGTTTGACTGCCTTAAATCTAGAAGTCCCATTCCCAACATCTGGCAAAGATGTCTTTTCTTATGTTTTTTTAAATGACTTTTCAGAAAAAAAAACAAAGGTTTCCTTAAAGGTTCTTTGGATGATTTACAGTTCTAACATTTCCTTAAGGGGTCCTCTTGAAACTTTTTCTGAAGGGATTCTACACAGAAGCTTTAAAAACTCCCCCAGAGTGACCAAATGTGAGCATTTGGTGTTTAACTACATCTGGTATATCGGTTATCTCACAGAGATCACTAAACTCTAAAAGTCAGGCTATAAGAACCAGGACAGAAAGACAATTCTTTGCCGTCTAAAGCTGGTTATTTCGACCCATTAACCAGAAGTTTATGAATAGCAAGTCAAAGCAGTGTTTCAAACGCAACAACTCAGATCCTTGCGTGACTGGAAACCATCACAGACAACCGGATGTTTAAGTCACAGCTGAAAAAAAGGTGCGTGTGCGAAGTAAATGATGCTTTAGGCACAAAAAGGCGATTAGAGCTTATAACACTGTAAGCAAATATGATATTGTTGCATAAGTGGCACTTCTTTTCTCTTTGTTTTATTTTCCAATTTGTTTTATTTTATTGTATTGTACTCTGGCACCTGTTAATATCTCTTTGTTTTGTTTTTTCTTACATTTGATTGAATATTTTTCACTGTATTGTTCTTGTATATGGCATTAATTAAAAAAAAAAAAAAAAAAAAGTAATTTAAATAAAATGATGCTTTTGACACTGAATCCAAATACAACACAACAGTGTGTGTGTGTGTGTGTGTGTGTTTCAGTCTAGCCTAAACTAAACCAGGGCTATGTCCTACAAAGCATAGCCTACTACACATATCCAATTATTTTGGAACAAGTCACTGTTTTGAGTCACAGTATGAGGTGTCGGATGCAGTTTAAACCCTAAAAAGCCAGAAGTCCCCTCCCCCTATATCCCCCTTCCTGCCACATCTGGTTCCACTCAAACTTTTGGACTTTTAGTGGCATTCCTTTGCATCGGTAAAGCCAGATACAAGTTAACTCCACTGTCTTTAAAGCTAAAAGCAGCTAATACATCCCAGTTTGCAGTGCATCTCCATGCTCTGTGATTATTAAAGGAAGAAAAGCGTGCTTGCTGATTTCTTTAAAACAATAGTTCCTCACCTGTGAGCGCAATCTTCACGTCCAGGAATAAAAGCAATAAATATAAAGTGCATCTGCAAACGTGGAGCACATCCCTGCGTGCGCTCTTGGTCTTCTCCTGATCAGGCATGCCCGCTGTTAGCGCGGAAGAAAAAGAGGAGTGAGAGCGAAAGAGAAGTTTCCTCCTGCAGAGCTGGAGAAGTGGATCGAGGTGGTGTGCGAGCTAGCGTGTGCGTGCGCGCGCGCGTGTGTGCGGGCGTGCGCGTGTATGTGTGAGTGTGTGCTGGGTTTGAAGTGCAGTTTGTGCTCGAGCTGAATGAGACTGAACCGCTGTGCCGCTATCAGGGTTGCCAGGTTGGTACAGGATCCCCGAAATAAGCACCGTTCCAGGTTACAGCGGTCTACTGTGTAACTGTGACAATGTTAACATCTTATCATCTTCACATATTATATCAATAACATTCATTCATTCATTCATTCAGTGTAACTGTGACAATGTTAACATCTTATCATCTTCACATATTATATCAATAACATTCATTCATTCATTCATTCAGTGTAACTGTGACAATGTTAACATCTTATCATCTTCACATATTATATCAATAACATTCATTCATTCATTCATTCATTCATTCATTCAGTGTAACTGTGACAATGTTAACATCTTATCATCTTCACATATTATATCAATAACATTCATTCATTCAGTGTAACTGTGACAATGTTAACATCTTATCGTCTTCACAAATTATATCAATAACATTCATTCATTCATTCATTCAGTGTAACTGTGACAATATTAACATCTTATTATCTTCACAAATTATATCAATAACATTCATTCATTCATTCATTCATTCATTCATTCAGTGTAACTGTGACAATGTTAACATCTTATTATCTTCACATATTATATCAATAACATTCATTCATTCATTCATTCAGTGTAACTGTGACAATGTTAACATCTTATCGTCTTCACAAATTATATCAATAACATTCATTCATTCATTCAGTGTAACTGTGACAATGTTAACATCTTATCATCTTCACATATTATATCAATAACATTCATTCATTCATTCATTCAGTGTAACTGTGACAATGTTAACATCTTATCATCTTCACATATTATATCAATAACATTCATTCATTCATTCATTCATTCAGTGTAACTGCGACAAGTGTTAACATCATCTTCACA